TGCCCGTTGACGAGAAAATCGACATTTCCTCATAAATGCACAATTTTATCTCTGGTGCGCCACGTTGCTATTCAATTACGCTAAAATTTTACAAGTAGCAAGAGACACCCAAGCGTGTCAATTTATCCCTGCCCAGCAACGCCGATGCGCGACATTTATACACTTTCAACGCCCAATCAAACATTTCATCTTCAGTTTTTCTCGGAAATGAACAAGACAAAGGACGGCGTGCTTCTATGATATGATCATAGATGCAGAATTCGATTCTCTGTCGGAAGGACCCAGTTTCACCAGCGTACGACCAAAACTAATACATAAATTCCATTTTCTATAATTTGACTTTGATCGCCCTTTCCTCGGAAACAGTTTGATCAGCCCCCGATTTTTATTGCAGATTTGCTTAGAAAGAGGGGACCAACACCGCGCCTATGGCGACGTGGACCTGCTCACGGCCTCCAGCCTCGGCGCACCACGATATACCTCGACGTTTCCCTGGCACGCCCGGCTCGAATTGGCCCTCAATGCGCTGAGACAGACGCCTGGATGGGCCATTGACGCCGCCACGAAAATCCTCTGCCTCCACACACCGATCGCAGCCAAGCCAGTCCCCATCCACAAGGTCACGCCACGACTCATTCGACACACGCAGCACCCACGCTTCCAACCCGACACAAGCCAACCACCACCATACCTCATGCGCCTCGACTGCGACCGACGTGACTGGAGACGGATCTGGAAACATAGAGACATCGCGCACAAAACGTGTACAATCTGGTGGCGCCTACTCACCGAGTGCCTACCCACCGCAGCCCACATGTTCAAACGCCAACACCGTGATTTCCAGACGCCCATGTGTCAATTTTGCCACAGCACCATCGAAAATGACATCCATTTCATCTTTGCATGCCCCCCAAAACACGCGATCTGGGCCCAGCAACAAGTGGACCACAAGGTACAGCTCCTCGATTCCGATATCAAGTTTTGGCTCCGTCGACCCTCTCGGTGCCCGGCCAATCTCCTCCCCCTCTTCAATGCCTCCATCCTTGCCGCCTGGAAACATCACTTCGAACAAGTTGGCCCAGCCATCGACGCCTCACGCAAAAGAAGCTGATCACATCTGCCCCCCCAGTCACTTGGTTTTTTTTTTTTTTTTCTCTTTTTCTTTCCTCTTTTCTTTTCTTCCTTTTTCTCCTTGTACCTCCATCCCCCATCCCAATGCCACTTACCCCCACCCGACCCCTTCCCCCTGATTTGATCTGTTATGTTTTTCTAGAATGATTAACGGTTGCCTATTAAAAAGTTAATCATTATACAAAAAAAAAAAAATAGAAAGAGGGGACCAAAGCATCTAATGGCATGACTCTCAGATGCCCAATGTGTAGGTTGCCAAACGGATTTGAGATCTTTGTCTGGGCTTGCACCTCTCAAAGCAGGAGACCCTCCAGATGCATTTTGACCTGACCCATCTTTTTTTTTCTAAATATGAAAAAAATCCCTCACCAAGGACTCATCGCAGCAACGCCACGAAACTTTTACAAGTAGTGGATATTGCCTCTCTCTTCTCAGAAAAAAATAAAAAACCAAAGGTCGATCATCCAATTTGTCCTAGAGCACGACATTGCTGAAAATTTGGCTGTGGCACGTTTCGTAAAATCATTTCGCGGTAAAATCATGATTCAATCATCGCCAAACTTTGCCACTTGATTATTTCAACGTCTCTCTTTGAAGGAAAATTTTAAAAACCAGAGTTTTTCAGGCCGTTTTCGAGGCATGCAGGCGCCGTTTTCAAGAATTGTCACAAACTCAATAATGGCCAGCACAACCCATGATTCGATTGCCTCGCGACCTTCGCTCTCTGAATTATTTTGCCACGCCTTGTTCAGCAAGACCTTGAAAACCAGAGATTGACTGTACAGTACAGTACAGTACTGTATCCTTGTGCAGATGAATTCAAAATTACGCCATTTTTACAAATGCAAAATTAAACGCCACAAATCATCATGATTGGGTCGCCCAATAGCTTGACATTCGTTAAACGTTAAATCGACGCGTCTCTTTTTGAAAAGACGTTCAAACCAAAAGTCAATCGAGCTGTTGTGCAGATGAATCCAAAATCTTGACATTTTCACATATTATCCACAACGGGGTCGTCTCAAACTATTTAGTGGATTGCCGTGAAATGGCACGGATCGAAAGTGACGCACGCGAATGTCATTTCCAGGTTGTTTGCGCGCCCGATGGACAAGCTTTGCACGCTTGCAAAAATCGATCAAACATTGGATTAATTTTCAAGCTCAATTTTCTCGACAGCTGGAAAAACAACCAACAACGCTTGTAACATGTCGAAAGCACCTGTTGAATCTCTATCGAACGAGACCAGCTTCAACGATGGATGGCTAAAACTCGCAGAGAAAATCTACCTTTTCATCAAAATCTTTGATCGCGATTTGTTTGAGAACGGTCTAGTCGACCCGCAATTTTTATTGCAGTTTTAATAGCAAACAGGGGGGCAAGACATCTGATGGGATGACTTGCAGCGCGCTAGCTTGTGTTTGAACTTTTTGCATCTGTCGTTTCACCAGGAGGCTGTACAAACAGGCAGGCAGCAGGCAGCAAGTCCACCATCATCATCCAGCGCGCAAAAATGTGTACTGTAAAATTTGATGCAGTAATTTTTTATGCAATTACGCACCTTAATTTGGAAGTGCCAAACCTTAAGTTTTTACAAAAGAATCTTGCCCAAAGCAGGCTCTTTTCTCAGTCGATCGCCGTTCATGCGTCACTCTTTGGACATTTTTCCTACTGTTCGTTGGGGCAATAATCTGGTATTTTGTCTGCCAATAGCAAATGGTCGGAGTTACCTACTTGGGATGCATTGATCACTCGGAGTTCGAAAATTCACGAATTAGGCATTTTCTGAGATTGAAATTCGTGACCCCTGAGTGACCCCTGAATTTTTCAAAAGTGGTCGTAGCGCTTTGGGGATTTAAGCTTTTTTGTTGCAAATTTGGCGATGAATCCGATGCAGCTAATTTTGAGCGGAGTCGACCATGCAAATGGAGAGGTGAATGCAAAATAGTATTAATGCGAGTTTTTTTTGGCATTTTCGACAGTCCAAAAAAATCGGGCGAGTCCATCTTGGGCGCTCGGCGCCTGGGCCGTAGTTTATGCCGGGACGCAATTTTCATTAGCGGGCAAGTATGATAGGCTGTAAAAAAATTCTGGAGGCACAGGAGCAGGCCGGCAAATTTCGCAAAACAGGTTCCATTGGCAAAAGTGTACAGTATGTACCTATGTTTTTTTTACTACTGTAATCTGTAAATGTTACAGTAGGTACAGTAAGTGTGTACAGTAACGCGATAATGCAGCGGCTGGCTTTAGCGCTTTACAGTACTTGAAATACTGTACGGTAGCTGGGCATTTCAGATTCTATCCACTGACCCTTTAAAAATGCAGTCAAAAGCGATACTGTATTCGTGGTTTCGTGCACGTACCATACAGTAGTACAGTAGAGTAAAATTGTTGGTACCGTACTTGGTCATCATGATTCAAGATCATGAGTAAACTTATCGACACTTGTGACCTTGTTTCCACTGCCCAGGAATCCGGAGGCAACGCGTTAGGCAGCAATTTTGTTGCGAAATGCGAAATTTGTTCTCTACAGTACGGTATTTTGTCAGCTTGAATTCGTTGCAAATTGATGTATAAATTATAAAAGGATGTGCAAAATGCAAACAAGTCGTGATTTTACAGTATCGCTCACCTATACAGTAACTTATTTCTGTACCTGCCTGCTGTAAGCAGCACAATGGCGATTTAGCGGAAAAATAGTGTCGCAATTAGAAAAAAATGCATAAAGTTGATATCACTATATACAGTATAGTTGACAACGTCTTTCCAGGTATCATACAATATAGAACCAAGGTACAAAATCAAACACAAATTGAGCGTATGCTTTTGTCAATGTGTCAAGCTGATCGGGCAGCAGAATGTCGATAAAAAGTGATACTGTAAGATCATGACTAAAAGCAAATAATCGCCGTGGGGACAGCCCCATCAATGCTCCATGAAGACGTCAAATGAATTAGCGACTCAAAGAGAACATGGTGCATGGTGCTTGTGTTTTGAAGAAAATTCGTGGACATTTCGGCGAGCTAACCATCAAGACACAAGATTTCACTGGCTCATGATGCCACTACTGTTAATGCCGATACTGTAATCTGTGACCTGAGCCAAATTCATGCCATCATGTCTTCATGTGTTGTCAGATCGCGCTTGGATGTTCATGGGTCTAGAGGAAGATGTAGCAGCTCAATCGAAAGGTTAGCACTGGTTCAGCTAAAAGGCCAACACATTATACCATAGCGCTTTGTGGCAATCCTCGCAAGTGAGCATTGAAATGCCGCAAAGACGGGCTGGCGCGCTTTTTTTTTAATTGTGCCAGAAAATGTGTTGTACTGTAAATTGAATGTGACTTGGTTCTGTGGACGGCTGATGATGCAAAGTGGCTGGTAACTTGTGCCCAGATTTGCAACAACTCCACAAGGCGTCGTCATGTGGCGCGCAGCACGCATCTATGCGCTCCTGTGACGTGTGAAGCTCGATTCTCGGCCTAAAAGGTGCCAATTTTACTTGATCACAGATTGACCCGCATGTTTACGCATTGTCGATGCGCCAGTTCTTTTGTAGTGCTCACAACTGAAGGGACTGAGTGCTTCGAAAGAGGAAATGATGATTTGCCCGGTCGCCGGCGGGAACTTTAGAGCGCTATTTTGCACTTGCGCCTTGAGTTCCCGAACTCAAAAAGTCCACCCCAGGCGATCGCTTTGCTATCGACACACCGCTACTTTTTCTCCTCCTTTTTTACATGGTAGTGATGGTGTACCCGGCAAATACAAAAATAAAGTTGAAAATCGCCAAAAATCAATATTTTTTTTTAATTAATATTTTTTTTTCTTTGAATTAGCTCTTGATGTTTGAACAAGTTCCCGGACATCAAGGGTCTCATGATCTAACGGTTATGATTCCAGACTTTGAATCTGGCAGCCCGAGTTCGACTCTCGGTGAGACCTTCTTTTTTGATTTTGGCGACCGACATTTTTTTTTAAAAATGGCATTTTTTTCGCGTTTTGTATCAATTTTTTTTTGTTTTTCAAGAAGCAAGGGTTGGAAGGAGAGGCATCCGATTGCTGGGGTGCGTTGTGGATAGTTGTGTTTTGTGGGTCTGGCGACTTGGCGGTATTTTTTGCTCGGGGAGGGGATTTTCTGATTTTGTGGCTGGGATGGCACGAATTTTTTTTTTTTTTTTTTTAAAGTGAGCTAGTATGCGCACACGTTGTGTTTACAGCATGGCTACGTTGGTGTGGTTGTGAATGACGATGTGAGTAGCGTGCATGGGCCGAGCCGATGGCAGGACCGGAACTAGTTTGTCATTTTTTGATTTCACGTGGCTCAGCCAGAGCGATTGGCGTGGTCCATTGACCAGATGCGTAGGCCACGTGGTCAGTCTGTCTGCGTTGAGGAGTGATTCGTTTTGGGGACGCGTCCCATGGGCGCGTGCCAAGCCCAAATTGTTAAAAGTGAAAAAATGTAGTTTATTACAAGAGATTTGAGGGGCATAGAGGGAAACGGGGTAGAGGGAAAGAAAAAAAAATAAAAGGAGCGTAATGGGAGAGGTCATTCCAACGTGTCATGCGGCACGTACAGCGTGTTGTCGATTTTTTTTCTCTTTTTTAAAAGCAAATGACTCTAGCGGGCAGCAGGATACTCTGTCCGTTCTCATCAATGGCATAGACCATGGGCGATATAATGAATTGCACGGGCGGGGCAGGTGTGGCGGGGACGGGGGATTGGGGAGGGTCGTTTTCGTCGTCGACGGGGCTGGATGCGGTGACGGTGGTGACAATGAGGCGTTTCTTGTCTGTGTCGTCGTTTTGGGCATTGGCATTGGTGTCTTCGTCATCGTCGTCATCATCATCATCGTCGTCGTTGTGATTGTTGCGGCGGTTGTCGGGTTCGTCGTCTGCATCTTGTTCCTTGTGGGGCAATCGCATGGATCCCTGCTGCAGCTCCATGTACCTCTTGTCGTAATAGGCCTTTTTCTCGCACATTTCGGCGTCAAAGACGATTGGGTATTCTTGGCCGTGCATAGCGAGGCTGAGGCGAGCGGCGGCCTTGACAATGGCCTCGAGCTTTGGTTCAATCTTCTCGTCGGGGACAGTAAAGAGTTTTTGGAGCTCGCGCTTGATGTTGTGGACGACGGCGGCCTTTGCCTCGACGACGCCGATCTGCTGGTCCGGGTCCGCCTTGTAGATGAGCTTGCAGAGTTGCTGGCGGAGGCGTAGTGCCCAATCGGGCTCCTGATTGGCGTCCATAAAGTTGGCGACGGCCTGATAGTGGTGATTGATGGACATGCCGAGGTGCACGGGTTCGTTGAACACGCTGGCAATGAGGACCTCGGTGACCAATTTTTCGACAATGTGGCAAACGACGAAATAATCGAGTTTTGGCTGGGGCTTTGGCTGTCCTGCTGCGGTGTCGACGGCCATCATGCGTTCGACGGTGGGTGCGAGGGCTGTCCACCGTTCCTGGACAAAGACGAGCACATCGTTAGGTGCGTCCATGTGGCGGCTATAGGAGCGCAGGGTCATTGGCAGCTGCATGATCTTGTTTTGCAACGTGTTGAGCTGCGAGCGGATGGTGGATAGGTCGTCGTCCGTGGCGCGAATGTTCCTCATGTGGCTGTGGAAGTTGTTTTGCATCTTTGTGTATTCCTCTTCCTTGAATCGCAGCAATTGGCGCAATTCGTCGTTTTTGCGCATGATGTCCAATTGATATTGCTCTCGTTCGCGTAGCTGGGTGATGAGTGCGGCGTTTTCCGCGCTCAATTTCTGATTTGTCGCGTGAACCTTGTTGAGCAGATTGTTGTTGAACTCGGTTTTGCTGACGACTCTGTTTTTTTTGCCTGTTTGGACGCTGGGATTGGGGGATGGCGTTGTGCTGCAGGCATTGTCGGCCTCATTGGAGCTGGCATTGCTGAGACTGGTCTGCGATTGGTTGTTATGATGCGCAGGGAGCACTGGCGGGATTTGTGCCTGTCCCTGGGCTCCTTGCTGATTGGGCTGTGAAGAAGCCGAAGGAGGAGGAGCACCTTCACGCGATTGAGATTGCTGTTGCTGTTGCTGTTGTTGCTGCTGCTGCTGTTGGTGCAATTGCTGCTGGATATGCTGCTGCTGCTGCAAAGTCAACTCGTCAATGTCCAAGGATGTCCACGAATTGCGAGCGGCGCTTGACGAATTGAGTGGCGGCACATACGTGGTCGCGTAGCCTGGAGGAGGAGGAGGCGGCGCCCCGCCCTGAGCGGCGGCATTGGGCGGTGCACCGACCGCGGGAGGCGCCGACCGCGACTGCGGGTGCTGTTGAGGCGTCGACCCGGCCACGACCTGGCGCTGCTTTGACTTTTGAGGCAACGGCGGCGTGCCCTTTTGCAGAGATGCGCCGGGCTTGCCCACGTTGGGTCCAGGAGTGTCAGGATAGAACTGCCGGGGATCAGGAGGCACCGACGACGACGAGCGGTTGTCGTTCTTGCCAGAGAAGGCGCTAAAGAGACCCTTCATACGAAAAAAAAAGGTGTTGGAAAAGGGAAGGAAAGGGGGGAATATAAAAAAAAAGGGACGTGGAACGAAAAGAAAAAGGAAAAAAAAAGGGGCCAACCAGGCGGTAAAAAGGCTTTGCAATGTGTCGCTGTCTCACTTTCCCCCTCGCACTATTGAGATTGCTTGCAAAAAAGTGAAAAAAGGTTCAAACGAGGCTGAGCCGGCCTGCATTTCCACCGCCCAAAAAAAAAAAATAAAAAAAGAAAAAGAGTGACCAGTTGCCTTTTTCGACTTGCTTGTGCAACTTTTTGCATTTGTGGCAAAAAGCAGCCAAAAGTGCGACAGGGGCAAATGAGGCGCGTGCCGCCTCACCGTCCTCATCCTCATTATCCTCAGCATCATCTTCATCAGCAGTAAAAAGTATGTATGGGGCTTTTTTTATTGGTCTATTGTCGTCATCAAGGCTGCGACCCCGTTTCATTTTTTTTTTTGACGCGTGTCTGGGCATAAAGAAAAAAAACAAGGATTTCTGCATGTTATACGCGTTCCAAGATAACTGCCACACCCTATCGAATCAGAAAAAAAAAGTTTTTTTTTTTTTTAAAAAGACGCGTCTTTAGCACCACGCTTTCTTTTTTATGATTCTTTTTTATGATTCTTTTTTATGATTCTTTTTTCTTTTTTTTTTTTTTTTTTTTACCTGTCCGCCACCGATACAAGCGGAGCCCACGGCATACTTTGAGCCAGTGCGCTGCAGAGCGTGCGAGAGATGGGTGAGGATGCGCGCGCCCGATGCACCCAGAGGATGGCCAAGGGCAATGGCGCCACCATTGACGTTTGTTTTGGCGCGATCCAAGCCCAATTCGCGTTCGACGGCGATGTATTGGGCGGCAAAGGCCTCATTGACCTCGACAAGATCCATCTGATCCAGGGACAGGTTGGCGCGGCGCAGGGCGCCCTGAATGGCGGGGACGGGGCCGAGACCCATCAAAGATGGCTCGACGGCCGACGCCTGCCAGCTGACAATGCGCGCCAATGGAGTCAATTGGTACTTTTTGACGGCTTCTTCGGACGCGACAATCAGGGCCGCCGCGCCATCATTGATACCAGACGCATTGGCGGCGGACGTGACGCCATTCTTTTTGAACACGGGCTTCATCTTGGCCACTTGCTCGAGGGTCAGGCCCAGACGCGGGTGTTCATCGGCATCGACGATTTCCGTGCCCTTGCGGCCCTTGACTTCGACGGGCGCAATCTCGTCCTTGAAAATACCAGCATTGTACGCGGCCTCGTAGCGGTTCTGGCTCTGCACCGCGAATTGATCACACTCGGCCTTGGTCAAATTGTGCTTTTCTGCCAGGTTCTCGGCAGTGATGCCCATGGGCGTGGGTTGAGTGACCGGATGCGGCAATTGGTCCGTCAGCGTCGCCCACAACGAGTCCTTGAGCGACAAATCAACACCCAATTTGTTGCCCCATCGCGACTGGCCAGAAAGCACAAAGGGCGACAAGGACATGTTCTCCGCACCGCCCGCAAGCACCACATCGCTGTCGCCCACAAGCACCTCGTGCGCAGCATTCACCACGCTCTGAAGACCAGACCCGCAAAGGCGGTTCACCGTCATCGCAGGCACGTGCACAGGCAGACCCGCACGGTGACCAATGTGACGCGCAAGATACGGTCCCGCAATGTCCGTGTGCGTCACATTGCCAATGATCACGGAATCCACCTCCACATTCGCGGGCAAATCAGCAAGCGCAGCGCGCGCAGCAAGACCACCAAGCTCAGACGCTGTTCCAAAAAAAAAAGTAAAAAGGGAGAGGAAAAAAGGGGGAGCATGTGTCAGCAGCGTAAAATATGGAAAAATGATGCGTCCACCTTGAACGCAGTGCCAAAAAAATAAAAACCAAGCTTACCAGTGATATCCTTGAATTTGCCACCAAAGGTGCCAAAGGGGGTTCTGGAGACAAGTACAAAACGAGGTTTGGTGAGTGTTTTCTTGTATCCCCCTTTTTTTTTTTTCCCTTGTGAGCTTTTTTTACCTCTTTGCCGCGACAATATAAGCTTGCTTAAGGGACATGACGAGTTTGATAGATGAGGTACAGAAAGGGTGAAACGAAAGCAAAAAAAAAAAAAAAAAAAAAAAAAAGTGCGGGGGAGACCCTGCGTGAGTAAAAAAAAAAAAAAAAGCACGTGAAGGCGCCGATGTTGCTGAGTGAAGCCAATTGCCAATGCCGGTCCTTACCAAATCTGACCGCGGCATAAATTCAAGGTTTGCCAGGCCAGATCTCTGGCTTTTAATGCGCGTATACCGCGTCGTTCTTGCCTCATTTCTTTTTTTTACTGCAACCACCCAGACAGTATTTGTAGCGCCCATGTCGGTTAGTTCATTGCTATGCGCGACGTTTCTAATGGTCGCGTCAACCTGCAAAAAGTGGCGTTTGCAGGTCAAATCAAATAAACTGGACAGCCAACTG